CTCTCCCCCTCTTACTCTTCGAGTTTTTCGGGAGATTAGAAATGCATTATACACAGCTGTGTCACGCAGCGGCAGAATATCGACGAAACCCGTGTCTGGGCTTTTAGTTAGTACCTATGTCGAGCGTATGGTATAATACGTTTGTAATATACATTTCATACTACTCGTAGTACTACTTCTTTGTGGAATGGGCATTACGTGGTTATTCTACAGTATTCGATTGTCTTCGACTCGAATGTTCATTGAAATTTCAGGTCTGACGCTAAAAGGCCATGTCCCGGAGACTGCCAATGATTCATGGCCTCGGTTGACATCTCGCGTTGATTGGCTGAGGCCTCTTCCATCTTGCCCTGAGATTATTGTAAGCGGCGTCTAGTTCAATGTGCCGTTTAATGCATGATTCATCGGAATACACGGCCTCCAAAAATTCGAGGCCTTTTTTAGATGAGCAGACGTGAACCATGTACGTTTTGTCTCAAGCCAGTTTCCAATGTGTGCATTGCAACTTGGGACAAGTCGTCTCGCCTCCTCCCCGACAAGGACAGATGAGACTGTCTTGTTTGCGAGTTGATGAACGTGATTAGTTATCTGGACTTCGAATGTTTGCGCATATTGCTTTATTCGGCCAACCGCGGTATTACTTTATAGACACCGTTAAAGGGTTAGTTGTTGTTGTGCTTGACTCATAAGCCATTCTCGAACATGTACACTAGAAAGTTTGTTTTATTCCCAGAGAATCTTATGCATTTCTGACTAAATTTCTTCGGATGCCCGTTTTCCCATATATATATATATATATATATATATATATATATATATATAATGTTAGGGGGCGCTCACAGATCGTTCATACGGAACTCACTCGTTCCGTTGTGCCTTATGGACTCTCTCTCGAGCCCAACCAGCAGCCGCACGGCGGCGCATGATATATAGGCAGAATGGTATTACCGACAAAGACAAGGGAGACTGGAATATATATATATATATATATGTGTATAGGCAGAATGGTATTACCGACAAAGACAAAGGGGACTGGAATGACAATTTCTGTCTTATTGGCCGTCGTCAGCCATTCATGCCCAACCCCGAAGTGGATCGTGCGACCTGTTAGTTCCGTAGAAACGATCGGTGAGCGTCCCTCTACATCCTATTTATGTATATGTATATATGCAGAGAAGGGAGACTGAGGTGGTAATTTCTGGCCTATTAGCCGTCGCCGGTCGGTCATGCTGAAGATGGGTTGAACCAAAACGGGAGCTAGAGTACGGCAGAACGCACGTTATTCGAGCTGTTCATCCATGACGAACGCACAGACGTAAGCTCACTGCGCACCAGTTACCTACACCCAATCCCCGCGTCAGATGACCGACCGGCTCGGACGTTGGACTGGTGCCTAGACGACTGACGCAGGGGTTGGGTCGACTCGGTCGAATGCGTTCTAAGGGCACTCGGCGCACGACACACTTACCTATCCGTCACGCTTCACATGAGATAGTTAATGAAGGATTACGTTTTAAATCGTTATTGTAGATATCCACTTTTATTTGCTTGTCTATTTAAATGCAAATTCTTTACGAACTTCTAAACAAAAAAATAGTGTTTCACCATTTGACACAAACTTTCGCGTATTTGGCATTTCTATTTTATTTGATAAATGACTATTCCGAATCGAATAAACATTACTTCTAGTGTTTTGTTCGCGTCTTCATTTATCAGAAGGCCTTTTCATAGACGTCGTTGAAACGTCTGTTGACAACCTTTCAAGTCTCCGCTTCGTGCGCACCGTGATATGGTCTCAAGCGCATCAAATTGTTTATAGAGAGGAATTACGCGCTAAGAGTCTACCCCACTCACTCTGCCCTATCCCATGCACAAGTCGACTGTCCAAGCCGGTCAGCCAACTGCTGCTGAGAATGGGAGAGGTGCCTGGCAGAACTGAGAACGGCTCGTCTGAGCGTGCCACACACACGATCTGCCGCACACCGGAGTTCCGCCCACAAGGGAATAGCCCACTTGGATCTCCTATGCAGCAGAGCAGCCACATGGAGAAGGGAACTAAGGCGCATTCTTCCCACTCTCTGGAGGGTGCTGGTGATGTGGGATGTTAGTAGTGTTCATACGTGGTACGTGTGTTGATGGGGGAATATGTGGCGATGTAGTCACGTTTGCGGCAATTTATCGTGGGTTTTCATGAAGACGCATGTGGCCATGCGATGGTTAACAATGCAAAGGCAATGCGGCAGTTGAGGTTTTGGCGTCTGGTGTGTATTGGTGCCCCGAGCACCGGTTCGTCAGTCTCTATGCGATGGATTGGCAAGTGACCGACTAGGTCTATGCGCGAGGCGCAATTGCGACGACATTGTTAGCAGAACAGGTCGGAAGTTGTAAGTCGATTTCGGTGGTGTTGCTGCTTGTGGTGGGCGCGCCGGTCGATGGGGAGCTGATTGGATTGGGGATGGGAGAGTTATTGGATGTGAAAGGTGTGTTAGTTGTGCCAGTACTGCGGTGAACTCCGCTACTGTGAATACGCGTGTGACCAAATAGACTCATGCGGTGTATGAATGTGCGTGGACAGTGTCATACAGCGAAGGAGCATGCGGCCACTGTATGTAAGGACTCCTGGCACTAGTGTGCCGGTCGCAATGCAATAGATTCGCAAGTGACAGACCAGGCCGATGCGTAAGGTAAATGTGCGACCGCAATGAGAAAACGCTGGAACCGAGTCCACATCGCTAGAGATGGGCTGATGATAGTTGGGGTAATGCGTGACGGGATGTCTGAAGTGTTCCCACTGGAGGTAGGAGTGAGAGGTGGTAGCCTTCGTCGTCGACGCGCAGATTGTGGCAGGAGTGATGGAGATGCCTGGGATCGATGGGGGTACAGAGATTCTGAGCATCGGTGGTGAGGACGGTCGTCGTTGTGGATGCCGTGCGTGTCGGAGCAGGGTCGATCGAGGAGGCAGCATATTGAGCTACAAGGCTGTCAGTGCATTGGGTCCAGAGATCTCCGACGAGGCCGATCCGCACGTGGAATGTTCGTTGACAGTGCGGGCATGTGGGGGAGAGGTTGGATGTTGGCGTTTCGGATCAGACACGCCTGAGGCTTGCGAGCTTCCCGCTTGGCTCTGACAGTGGCGATCCGGTTGGTTTAATAAAAGGTTGTTCCCCTCTACATTTCTCTTCTCGGTTACGGGCTGTGCAAGCATAGTGGCGGACGTCTTGAGTAGCTTCCCCATTTTAGACGATGTCGTTAGCAGAGCACCCGCTTTTGAGGTAGTAAATACTTTTCAGAACTTTGTCAACGCACTCGTAACCTGCCAACTAATCAGACAGTGGATGTTGCGAGACCCCCTTTTACCTCAATTAAAAGATCCTTGTAATTTGGCCGGCTGTTCTCTGCCTCCCCTCCTTTTCAGCCATAGTATAACCCTAAGGTCGACAAACCATCCTCCATCATTACTTACATAATGCCCACTTGGCATAGTCATAATAAAAAACCTCATCCGTAGCTTTCTTTGGTGACCCGGAATTGACGCAGTTATCAAAGTAATGACAAAAGCCTTCTTTGTATGTCAAATAGCACAGATAATTTTACTAAAGTTGTCCCATAAGCCATGGGCCTGGTCCGACTAACCGGTTAAGAGGGTATGCATAGATTATTTGGGACCGTTCCACTAGATGCATTGAGGCGATTACTGCCGACAATTCGTGTTCATCAATGATTGTAATCAGCAAGTTACGATTCGTTTTCTCCACCTCTGGAATATCTGAAATGGTCGTTTCAGACAGTGGTCTAGCTTTCACTGGCGCAGAATTTAAAAGAATGTATGGAGAAAAAAAGGAATTGAGCATTTGGCCACTGATCTGTGCCATGCAGCTTCAAAGGTCCTCGCAGAGGGCGTAGTTCAGACAAAGAAACGCGGGGGGGGGGTGTAGCAAAACAGACGCAAGCAGACTAAACCACGAAGTTTTCACTCTTTTTGTTGAACTATTACAAAACAACAACTGGTTCAACACTCGCAGAATCGGTGTCTTACCTGCAGTTGCGCA